ATTGCTATTTGTAAGAGGATGAAGAACCCGTATGGGACCTTGTAGGTGCTCTCCCCAAAGACAGTGAGCATTATTCAAACATTTGTGTCCCTGGGAAAGACACCAAATTTGAAGCACTCAGTGTTCTGAGCTTCTTGGGATCCGTGAAGGGTAGGAAGTCTCTAATTCAATGCCACAGGCATCACACAGACCAGTTGTCATGAGTCCATCACCATTTTGTGGCAGTTGAACAAGTTGTGCCCGATTTGAACTCCCTCCGGTGTTTTCCTTGTCAGGACGATCTCTTCCCAAACCTTGGATTTGGAGCTTTAATACGATCCTGTGGAACAATCCGTCAGCCCCCTCCAGCATATTGAGTGTTGACGACTAATCCAGACCTGAAGAGCAGTTCTGTCGTTGAAATGCAACAGGCTCTGGTCCTTTGAAGTGGCTGCCAGTTTTTGCAAGGTGTCAACTCTTTCATTACCATTCAAATCAATTTAATTCAGTTTATTTATATACAGTGATACTTGAAAGTTTGTGAACCCTAAAGAAGTTTCTATAGTTCTGTATCAATTTGAGCTAAAACATCAGATTTTCACACAAGTCCTAAAAGTAGATAAAGAGAACCCAGTTAAACAAAAGAGACAAAAATTATTATACTTGGTCATTTATTTATTGAGGAAAATGATCCAATATTACATATTTGTGAGTGGTAAAAGTATGTGAACCTCATGTAGGTGAAACCCACCATCATCCCAGAGTTTAAGATGTTCTGTATAGACTTCCTCCAAGCAGAACTGATCACCAATTACCAGAAATGTTTAGTTGTAGGTATTGATGCACCGGGGGGGGGGGGGGGGGGGGTCGTCACACCAGGTACTGAAAGCAAAGGTTCACATACTTTTACCACTCACAAATATGTAATAATGGATCATTTTTAGAGTCAGAGTTTCTTTATTGTCATTCGCACCTCATGTGGTACATGTGGTGGAGCGAAATTATGTACACAGGGTCCCAGTTACATCCAACAATAAAATGTAAAAGAAAAACAGTAATAACATCTAAGATATGAACTAAGAAAAACATCAACTAAATATACACTAAGCACTCATAACATAAAACATTGAACAGCACAAACATGCACAAACATTTATTTTACTCAATAAATACATGACCAAGTATAATAATCTTGTCTTGTTTAACTGGATTATCTTGATCTACATTTAGGATTTGTGTGAAAATCTGATGTTTAGGTCATATTTATGTAAAAATATTGAAAATTCTTAAGACTTCACAAACTTTCAAGCACCACTGTAGAGCCAAGTCACAACAGACGTCTCAGGGCACTGTACAAAAACAGTCATTTACATAAAAAGCCAATCAGTCAAATATATCTAAGGAAGCCAGCTGATTAAAGTGAATCTTCAGTTACAGTCTCCCATCCTGAGCAAGCACACTGACAACAGTGGAAAGGAAAAACTCTCTTTTAACAGGAAGAATCCTCCAGCAGAACAGGTTCAGAACGAGCGACCATCTGGGTTTAAGAGGACAGGAAGGAGAACACCCAAGCGTCCCAGGTGTATTTTCTATTGGAGGAAAGATTAAAAAAGCATGTTACGGATAGAAATAATTAAAAATACAACCATTAATACCAGTTTTTAATGGTTGTACCCATTTAACATACAGTGAGGAAAATAAGTATTTGAACACCCTGCAACTTTACAAGTTCTCCCACTTAGAAATCATGGAGGGGTCTGAAATTTTTATCTTAGGTGCATGTCCACTGTGAGAGACATAATCTAAAAAAAATAATAATCTGGAAATCACAATGCATTATTTTTTTAATAATTTATTTGTGTGTTACTGCTGCAAATAAGTATTTGATCACCTGTGAAAATCAATGTTAATATTTGGTACAGTAGTTTTTGTTTGCAGTTACAGAGGTCAAAGGTTTCCTGTAGTTTGTCATCAGGTGTGCTCACACTGCAGCAGAGAGTTTGGACCATTCCTCCACACATCTTCTCTAGATCAGCCAGGTTTCTGGGCTGTCACTGAGAAACACGGAGTTTGAGCTCCCTCCAAATATTTTCTATAGGGTTTAGGTCTGGAGACTGGCTAGGCCACTCCAGAACCTTGATATGCTTCTTACGGAGCCACTCCTTGGTTCTCCTGGCTGTGTGCTTCGGGTCATTGTCATGTTGGAAGACCCAGCCACGACCCATCTTCAATGCTCAGACTGAGGGGAGGAGGTTGTTCTCCAAAATCTCTCACTACATGGCCTTTGTCATCCTCTCCTTAATACAGTGCAGTTGTCCTGTCCCATGTGCAGAAAAACACCCCAAAGCATGATGCTTCCACCCCCATGCTTCACAATAGGGATGGTGTTTTGGGGATGGTACTCATCATTCTTCGTCCTCCAAACACAGCGAGTGGAATTAAGACCAAAAAGTTCTATTTTGGTCTCATCTGACCACAGAACTTTCTCCCATGACTCCTCTGGATCATCCAAATGGTCATGGGCAAACTTAAGACTGGTTCAAATCATATCTCTCTGACCGCACTCAATTCATTCAGCTCAAATCCTTTCATTCCCAGTCTTCCCCCGTCTTCATGGGTGTCCCCCAAGGCTCTGTCCTCGGACCCCTCCTCTTCATCATTTACCTCCTTCCTCTAGGTCACATCTTCCGTAAATTTGGTGTCCATTTTCACTGTTATGCTGATGACACACAGCTCTACCTGTCAACAAAACCAAACTCCGCCCACCCACCCTCCATCCTCACCTACTGTCTCAATGAGCGAAATCACTGGTTTTCTAACAACTTCCTACAACTAAACAGTAACAAAACAGAAATCATTCTTGTCGGTACCAAAAACTCTCTTTCAAAATCAGAAAATCTTCTCATCCCCCCTTAACAACTCCCTGCTATCCCCCTCGCCTCAGGTCAAGAGTCTTGGTGTCATCCTCGACACCACTCTCTCCTTCACTTCACACATCAACAACGTCACTCGGTCTGCCTATTTCCATCTCAGAAATATTAACCGTCTCCGCCCTTCTCTCACACCCCGCTCCACAGCCATCCTTGTGCACAGTCTTGTGACTTCTCGGATTGACTACTGCAACTCCCTTTATGGCCTCCCCAACAAATCTCTCCAGAAGCTAGAATTGGTCCAGAACTCAGCTGCTCATGTCATCACTCAAACCTCCTCCTATAACCACATCACTCCAGTCCTGCAGCAGCTCCACTGGCTCCCGGTTAAATCACGCATCGTCTTCAAAATTCTTCTTCTCACTTTCAAAGCTATCCACAACCTTGCCCCTCCGTACCTATCTGACCTCCTACACATCTCCATCCCCTCTCGCTCTCTCAGATCCTCCTCTTCACTGCACCTCCATGTACCCTCTGCCCGCCTCTCCACCATGGGGAGCAGGGCCTTCACCTGCTCTGCTCCTCATCTCTGGAACTCTCTACCCCCTGACTTAAGAAACACCACCTCTCTTTCTCTATTCAAGACTGCTCTGAAAACACATCTCTTTAGACTCGCTTATCCTTAACTTTGCTGTATGTATTTTATATTCTTTACGCATTTTATATTCTGTATGTATTTTATATTCTTTACGCATTTTATATTCTTTATGTAATTTATTCCTGTTGATCTTTGTTCTTACTGTAAAGTGTCCTTGGGTGTCATGAAAGGCGCTTTTTAAATAAAATGATTATTATTATTATTAAGACGGGCCTGGACGTGTGCTGATTTAAGCAGGGGAACCTTCCGTGCCATGCATGATTTTAAACTATGACGTCTTAGTGTATTACCCAAAGTAACCATGGAAACAGTGGTGCCAGCTCTCTTCAGGTGATGGACCAGCTCCTCCTGTGTAGTTCTGGGCTGATTCCTCACTTTTCTTAGGATCATCGATACGCCACGAGGTGAGATCTGTCATGGAGCCCCAGTCCGAGGGAGACTGACAGTCATGTTTTTCTTCTTTCATTTTCTAACAATTGCTCCAACACTTGATCTTTTTTCACCAAGCTGCTTGGCAATTGCCCTGTAGCCCTTTCCAGCCTTGTGGAGGTCTACAGTTTTGTCTCTGGTGTCTTTGGACAGCTCTTTGGTCTCAGCCATGTTAGTAGTTGGAGTCTTACTGATTGTGTGGGGTGGACAGGTGTCTTTATGCAGCTAACCACCTCAAACAGGTGCTTCTAGTTTAGAATAGTAAGTGGAGTGGAGGTGGACTGTTTAGAGGTGGACTAATAGGTCTTTGAGGGCCAGAATTGTTGCTGATGGGCAGGTGTTCAAATACTTATTTGCAGCAGTAACACACAAATAAATTATTTAAAAAATCATACATTGTGATTTCCGTTTTTTTTTAATTATGTCTCTCACAGTGGACATGCACCTAAGTTGAACATTTCAGACCCCTCCATGATTTGTAAGTGGGAGAACTTGCAAAGTCGCAGGATGTTGAAATACTCACTTTCCTCACGGTTGGCTCTCCCAAACCAGTAATGATGTGAAGTGTGACCCCACGGACCACTATATAATTTCTGTGTACACAGGTCTTTGAGATGCAATAGTGACAGATTGCCTACATCTCAGCTTGAAATACAGCTGCAAAACCACCCAGTGGGTACTTGTACTTTTACTATACTGTAATGTGGTTGGCACCCTTGCACCTACTGACCCCTTCAGAAGGGATCCATCTAGAAATCAGTAGGAGCAACTGGGAGAGGTCCAACATAGAAAGATTGCTGCAGGCAGCAGCTTCATTGTCTGTATAGTTTGATCCCTTAATGTCCGTGTATTGTAGAGGCTGCAGACCATGAGGTTTAAACGCAGCTTCAATTCAGTTTGCTGGACTCCAGCACTGAGCTCATTTGACACAACCTGATATATTGCCCTTTTCTTACCATATACAGCAAATATACCAAATGCAAGTGTTTCTATAATTTTTTTCCATTTATTGAACGACACCAATGACTAATTTTGCTTTCACTTGGAAACAAACGTTAGATTTCACCATCAAGGACAGAAAGTCAGTTCATTTCTGTGGGGAAGGAAAAACGTGGCGGACACAAATGTTCACATTTCACGTCAGAATGTGTTTATTGTGAAAGGGACAGAATAAAGAGCAGATCAACAGTAGTAAATCTTGTTTTCTGAGTTTGATGTTGGAAGATGTAGAGAATTAATTGACTCAAAATATTTTTAGTCTCCAACAACTTCCACTGTGTTTACATAATTTGTTCTTACCCTTTTTTAGAGGACAAGACTAAACTAGGGAAATCATTGCTCTGAATTGACTTATGCAAACAAGTGAGCACAATGTAAAGCTCAAGTGTTTTGGGAGAATTTGCATTTTTTTAATTTGCTCAATTGGCCGATCTGTTGCTGAAACAGTTATTTTTTACTTCTCCTATTATTTTAATCACATCTTTCATAAATACTTCCAAGCTATCTAAAGATAAATTTCCTAACTACTATACTTACACATCCATAATTACTGACAGTTGTTTACTTACAGCAACTTCAGTTTATTAAAACATACAATTCTGGAGGAGGAAATTTGAGGACAAGGGGATGAAAATGGCAATATACTCGTTACAGTAAAACAATGTTAGCAAAATATAGCCATCCAGTGAGGAACTATAATATAGCAAGTGGGATAAAAAAAAAGTACATTTAAATTAAACATATTTACAAAATAAACAAGTGAATTTACAGTATAATATGACAAATGCCTCCATTAAGCAGGCCCACAATACATAGCACGTATATTAGCATAACATAATTTGCAGACTTTATACAACACTTATACCTTTTAGTCCACAAGTAAGTTACCAAATGGTAGAGAACATTAAACACACACAACTTAATTAAACATGAAAAGAAATACCTAATGAGGACCTTAAAGTTTACAGACCCCATGGCTTCGTAGCCCCAACCAACAAGGTTAGAATCTACAACTGTGCAGGAGGGACCGTAGAAGTCACCTTGCTGTAACACTCACCACAATTCTCATTGAGAAGTTATTCCCTCTCGAATAATAAGCACGATGCAAGTGGACGATCGCTATCACTGTGTAACAAAAAGAAAACAAATATTCTCCGGGCTCAAATCAGGTCGGCCACATTCATGGGCATCTCCTCCACGGTTGTGTTGTAAAATGTCTCGATGTCCCGAAGAATCCTCTTGTCCTCCTCAGTGACAAAATTGATGGCAACTCCTTTTCTGCCAAAACGGCCTCCACGTCCAATTCTGAAGGGCAGGGAAAAGACGCGTGAGATGCAGGTAAACAACGTTTAATATTACAGCACACGTGTAACTTACCGATGAATGTAGTTTTCACGATTTGTAGGAAGGTCATAGTTGATGACCAGAGAAACTTGCTGTACATCAATTCCACGAGCCTTGGAAAATAGAAGGAGAGCTCATTTGTAAACTCATTTTAAGACCCAGATTAGGAATAAGCGAATAGGAATCTTCCAAAAGCTGAACCTGACAACTGCTGGAAATTGTGTTTGTTTTATTTTTTAGGGGAGGAGAGAATTGTAGCACAGTTTTTAGTAAACCTACACCTCACCTTTACTGATGCTTTTTTTGTAGACAAGTTAGCTGAAATAAGCTAATGTTGACCCGGTCCTCTCAGTGATCAAACCGTCATGTTTTCTTGACTTTCTGCTGCAGTTATTTACATCTGGACTGAATCAAATGGGTCACAGCTTGGACATAATTTCTGGCCACGTGCAGCACACATTTTTAATCTTTGGCTCACAGTTTGTCCCTCCACAGGCAGCTACTGATAGAAGGTTGCAGTGCACTTGTCTTAGCAGGGTGCTCTCATCTTCTGTGATTTGTGTCAGGGGTGGGGTGTGCGTTGGTTGGAGACGTGTTGTGCGCCGTTTGCACCAACAGTTTTCGAGCGGGGGTGGAGACAGCTCAGTGAGAGGGAAACCGTGCACTACCTCTATAGACATAGCCTTTTAGCTATCAGGTCTGTATTGCACGCAGTTAGTTTGGCGCCATGTCAGGGGTGGGGCGTGCTGGCATGGTGGACCACCCTGCTTGTATAATGGCAGGGGAAACACTGCTGTGGACAAAATAGTCCCATTCTTTGCCGGTGTCAAGTTCTAATATGCCACAAATTAAAATTCTTAACATACCACTTTTTTTTTTTTTTTACGCCTAAATCCACAAATCAGCTTTCATTTTGTGGGTGGCATAAATCATACGACCCATTAGAAACTCATTATCATAGGTAGCTTCTGTTGTATACTTACCAGAAGATCAGTCGTGATCAACACTCTGCTTGAGCCAGATCTGAACTCTCTCATAATCACATCACGCTCCTTCTGATCCATATCACCATGCTGTGGAGGAGAAGAAAAGCAACACAAAGTGTGCAGCATTACCACTACAAAGCTCAACAGGAAACATTTCACTCACTCAAAAATCCTGCAGCTTGACGGTGTGTCGTACCAGAGCAGAGACGGTGAAGTCTCTAGCATGCATCTTCTCCGTCAACCAGTCAACTTTTCTCCTGGTATTGAGAAAGATCACAGCTTGGGTGATGGTCAGAGTTTCGTACAGATCACACAAAGTGTCTAGCTTCCACTCCTAGAAAAATCCATAAAGGTATGTAAATGTTATGTCGTCAACTGTACTTGACAAGTCAAACTTACAGAAGCATGCTAATACTGGATTCTTAAAGAGGATAATATTTATTTTCATTTAGCCTTTATTTATCCAGGTTAGTCTCATTGAGCCACGAGAACTCATTTTCAAGAGAGACCTGTTTTAGGGAGCACATGGTGGGGGTTAAGGGCCTTGCTCATGGGCCCAGAGTGGGGCGAATGAGGGTGGGGGCAAGTGTGAGTGTTTCACCAACCCCACCCACAATTTTTGATGTTGTCGGGGCCGGGGCATGAACCGGCGATCTTCGGATCACAAGCCCACCTCTCTAACCTCTGCGCCACCACTCCCCCAAAGAGGGGGAGTGGTGATCATCTTAAAGAGGATAATATTTTTGCTACAGTGTGTGTAACACAGGATCTTGAGACAAATGAAGACAAGACATTAAGAAAGAGGTCCCTTCCAGTCTCATTTCCAATACTGTGCATTTAATCTCCTTCCCCAGTGTACCCATGCTTACATGGCCACATGAGCTGAACCTGTGAGGCTCGGCTCCTGCAGTTTTAGCAGGGTGCTTTCAAAGAGAAGTTAGTTGGAGCTGTGTTGTGTTATTAATGTGATAACCAACCTCTCTCTCCACATTTATGTAGAACTGCTTGATACCCTCGAGTGTAAGCTCCTCTTTCTTGACCAAGATTCGAACAGGATCTCGCATGAACTTTTTCGTCACCTCCAACACATCAGCTGGCATAGTGGCTGAGAGCAGGACCACCTGAAGAAACAACAGAGCAACAAATTAACACAAAGCACCATCTAAAACAAAACATTCAAGCTCTGACCATGTTGTAGCACTTCACCTTGAGAGTGCAGCTAATGAACATTAGGAAAGAGGTTCAACCACATCTCATTTTCAGTGCAGTGCACATTAATCTCCTTCTGCGCGATACTCTGCAAGCATCATTGCATGAAACAGAAAATCTGAATCATACAATTATTGCAGATTTCTGTAACTGCAGAAGACCAAACCATGCGCTCCTTGTTCTGCCAAACCACACACCTGAATGTTTGTGCTCAGTTTCTGGAAGATCTCGTAGATCTGATCCTTAAACCCTCGACTCAACATCTCGTCGGCCTCATCCAGAACAAACATCTTGATATACTTTGGGGCTGAAGAGAAACATGGAATGCAGAGTCAAACGATTCAGCTAAACTTACATGAATTTGTTCTGAAAGAGACCAGCAGTACTTACACAGATGTCTCCTGTTTAGCATGTCATACACACGGCCTGGTGTGCCCACCACTATGTGAGGGGCTTCAGCCTGGAACTTCTGAATTTCACTACGGAGATTGGTCCCTCCAATGCAGGCATGGCAGGTTGCCCCCATGTAGTCGCCCAGAGCCAGAATTACTTTCTGGATCTGAAGGAGTTAAAACAAGTTTGCAGTTCAGAACGGTACTAATAGAAAACTATACATAAATACTTAAAGTGGAAAAACTGTTCAAAGTGATCAGTAAAACAAAAAGGAACTCTCCATGGGAAAGGTCAGTCCCGAAAGATGGTATACTATCATATCACACAGTTTTCCTCAACATGTAAAATGAAACGATCATCTTAGACCGATGCAGCCACGGGCAGAGACTACACCAACCAAAAGACTGTTAGTAATAAGAATTTTGACAAGTCTGTAAAAAACAAAAATTGTACCTTCTTATCTGAACAGTGTCGTCAGTATGCGGCCTAGGTCTGAGACACTGGTGAGGTTATGACCTCAGGAACAGCATACCTGCTGAGCCAGCTCTCTGGTGGGAGCCAAAACCAAAGCCTGAGTCTCCTTCTGCTCTATGTCCAGCTGCTGCAAGATAGAGATGGCAAACGTGGCTGTCTTGCCAGTGCCTGACTGGGCTTGGGCAATGACATCATAGCCTGACAGCAAGAAAATAACAATTAAAAAGAAAAGACAAATTTTAAATATCACTGTCTTTGTAGAACAGTTTGACAATGTGCTTAACTGCAGCCATTTCACAACGAGTGATCAGGGAGTACAAAAGTTATCCCCATTTGTTGGGTAAGTCCCGAAAGATGGTAAAGCATCATTTCACTCAAATAAATAAAGAAAGAAAAAAGTTTAATTTATGTACCTTTGATGCAAGGAATGATTGCTCTCTGCTGAATAGCGGATGGCTTTTCAAAACCATAAGCGTATATGCCCCTGAGAAGAGACTCTTTCAGGTTCATATCATCAAAGTTGTCAGTAATCTCATTCCAGTTGCTCTGTAAGAAACAGCAACATCAGAAGTAATCAAACCATTACCAGCTCTCTCTCTGCAGCAGTATTCATACATTTTAGGCTTACCTCGATGACACCATCAGGCTCCATTCCATCTGGCCCTCCATGGTCTCGATCTCTTGAGCTGTTGAGAGAGGAAAGAAAAATATACATTTCATTTAATGTCATCTTGCAACTTAAGATCGAGAAAATTTAGAACATGGGAGACCAACAACTTTAGGAATCTAGATTAGTCTCTTCCTAAATTTGTAAAAAATTAAGCTTCACCCAAGAACATGTCAGTTCTTTTAGATTTGCTTACTTTTATTAACCTAAAAGAATAAATTGTCAGAAATAGTGAGGGCTTTGGATTATTTTGTACATATTGTTGTACACATATTTTGCCTTGTCTTTTGGTCACTCTGCACACACTTTCATAAGTACAAGAAGCATGGTCTCAATCGTTCCGCCTTAGCAGCTGCCTCAGTGCTGATGAATGGAGCAGCTCCGATCAAGCCTGTCACGATGAATTTTACTGAGCAACTGTCTCAGAAATTATTGCGATACCCAATAATATTGTTTGAAATTTGACAATTAGTAATTATTGTCAAATTCAACAAGAAATATTGTCAAATTTATGAACAGTTTTCCATCTTATTTTTGTGTAGTACATTTTTCGACCACCAGATGGCAGTATAAGACTGAACTGAAGGATGGATGCTGAGGGAGCAAGCAGTGCGTCTAAGAAAAATGTGAGGGAAGTGCTTTGACAAAACTGACCCCCCCCCCCCACACACACACACACACACGCTTTTAACCGGAACTCGTAGGTCTGAACATATTACTCCAGTTCTGTCCTCCCTTCACTGGCTCCCTGTTCCTACGAGGATAGTTTTTAAAATTCTTCTGCTGACCTTCAAATGCCTAAATGGCCTCGCACCCCTTTACCTCTCTGAGCTTCTGGAACCTTACGTTCCCTCTCGGGCCCTGAGATCATCTGATCAGCTGCTTTTGGCTGTTCCAAAAACAAAACTGAAGCACAGAGGAGATCGGGCTTTTTCAGTCATGGGCCCCAAACTGTGGAACAACCTGCCCCCCCCAACATCAGGCAGGCCACCTCCCTTCCTCACTTCAAATCTCTGCTTAAAACACACCTGTTCTTTCAGGCATTTCATACAGTGTAAATTGATCTAGTGTTTTTTAATCTGTGACCTTATGTTTTAAATGCTTTTTATTAATTCTTCAGTTATTATTATTTGTGTATTGTATATATACGTTTATATAATTTTCTATTTAATTTTACTCTCATTGATTGTTGTTGTTAAGCACTTTGATAACAGGTTTTAAATGTGGTCTATTGACATGTTAAAGTTCTATTGCAGCTCTTTAACATAATTTGGCAAACTTAAAAACAGGTTAGTATACAAGGTTTTTTTTTTTCATGTTTTAAGACTTAAACACAACATGCGGTTATAGATAAAGTACACGAAGATGAATACGAAGCGGTTTATGAACGACCCAGCAGCATCTGGTCGAGGGGTCTGCAGCGCCGGGTACGAACCGGCAGGGGTTACGCCCAAAAGGTGTCTCGTTTCACTGCACAGTTTCAGTGGACGCACGTGTCATATTCCACGAGCCGGCTCAACTACCTCTGTACCCCTTTGAAATTTTCCGCTTATGTAAGCCCAAAAGATGCCAGTACTGTCCACCCCCCACAGCACGGCTCACCCCGAGTGTTCGAACCCGTCCGGTTCACCACAGCTCAGCGCGGGGTTATAACGCCAATATGTCGGATAAATGGGCCTGTGGCTCGGTGGATTCTACCATCTAGGCCGAGATGTAGTTGTAGCCGACTGATTAACACCAAGCTAACAAAAACAAAAGTAAACCCAGGTCCCGATAAGCTTTATTTTAAACATGTTAATAATGGAGGCGTATTTAAAATAAAATATATCCAAACGGACATTTGGAACACGCAGCGATATATACGAGCAGCTAATTGCTAACAACCAAAATTACCTCCACATGGCCTGGCTGGTTAAATGACTAATTCTTTACCGAACGACTTTCCTAACTGTGTTGAGCGCATAAGTACGACTAAAAATACATTACAGCAGCAGAAAGTGACCAAATAACTCTTAATACCTGTTGTAATCAGCAGAATCGCTAGACATGGTCCGCTTACAACTTCAGCATGCGACTGAAAAGATCGCTGATGGCGACGCCAACTGCTTTTATGCAGCCAGCCGGACTATCTTCACGCATTCTTATAAAATTTGTATAAGTGTACAAGTTAATCTAATTTGAACGAAATTTTCTGTACGATTCATTTCACTTTATACAACATTTATAACATGCTAATAATTGTTCATAAACTGATAATGTTAACATTTTTCGACACTATATTTCCGGGCGGAAGAATAATGCAGTAATAGGTAGTGCATCGGCCTCTACGGTGTCTTTGACAGGTCAAAACTCATCATGACGAGTTGTGCAACATTCAGTCACACCGAGTTTAAAACGGTAATACTTTTAGGAAAAGAACACAAACATTCACATAGAATAACGTCGTGATTCAAGAACATCTCTAGCAAGACGTTTAGAAGAAGCTATGGCTACAATTTAACTTAGTGGAGAACATAAAAATGGTCCTAATTTGGTTACTGGTGGAAGCTGCAGTTTAAACAACTAAAAGAAACTACTTAAATATTAATATTTGTTATGGTGTGCAAAAAGCTTTTAATCTACATATAAACCAGTCTTACCAATTTGGACCAGCATAGAAAGACTACAAGTCCATTACCAGTTGAACATGAGTCATTTTAAGATGTTCCTTAAATATCCTGATGCATGCTCAATAATCCAGGTAAAAAAAAAATCTAAAAAAAAAAAAAAAAAGTTAAATCTGGTCCTCTGGACATTCAAAAAACAAAACGACAAAAAAAAAAAAAATTTAAAATATTTTTTTTCTTACCTACAGCAATATAAAAGTGCTCCAGCATCAACGTGTGGCATGGAGGCTGCACAGCTGCAGAAAGAAAAGCTTTGCAGAGAGTGGTGAAGGCTGCACAGAAGATGTTGGAGTCAGTCTCCCCACCATCACAGACATCTACACCTCCAGATGTAGGAAGAGGGCCACCTGCATCATGAAGGACCCCACTCACCCAGCACACACACTTTTTGCCCCACTCCCCTCAGGAAGGAGGTTAAGGAGCATTAAGTGTAGAACCACTAGACTGAGGAACAGCTTCTACCCTGAGGCTGTTAGACCCATGAATCTCTAACCAGAATAACCACTGTGAAAAACCATATCATGTTGCTGCTGATCTGTTTCAATGTTGATGTGTTCATGCGTGCACATCTGCTCACAGACTCATGTTCATGTTTGTGCTGATGTTCAATGTTTTATGTTATGAGTGCTTAGTGTATATTTAGTTGATGTTTTTCTTAGTTCACTTCTTACATGTTATTACTGTTTTTCTTATACATTTTATTGTTGGATGGAACTGGGACCCTGTATACATAATTTCGCTCCACCACATGTACCACATGAGGTGCGAATGACTAAAGAATCTCTGACTCTGATAAAATTGTAGGTTTCTGACTTACACACAATGCAAGGAAGAACTGTTCTCTGTGTTTAAAATATAATTCTAGGCATGCACAGTCAAGTGCCCGAGTTTCTTGATTACTCCAAACTGTTCTGGTTAACCAAACTTCTCATTGAACATCTAAATAAGTGTGTGAATTCCCCACCCGAAACATGTGAGTCCATTTTGTTTTAAACCTAGTTCAATGACCAGTGAAATTAAGATTCTCAATGACAGAACAAGGAAATTAATGTGTTTCCAACATTAAAAACAAAACAAACAAACAAAAAAAAATGTAGAAATGTTTCTTCTTTCATTCGAAAGACTTCTTCAGTCTGAGGTGCTGTATTCAACTCATAGCTAATTATAAAAGACTGACCTGAATATTATTATTTTGCTTTTGTTTGTTTTGTTTTTTGAATGTCCAGAGGACCAGACTTAACTTTTTTAGATGTTTCTACCTGGATTATTGAGCATGCATCAGGATATCTATATTTAAAATTCTATATTTTTCTTCATCATTTGATGTATTTGCACTCATTGTGCTTTTGTTTCTTGTATACAGATTATTTTTAGCTTTGATTTAAAGTTTTGCTTTGATTTAAAGCTTTAATTTAAAGTTTAATTCTTGTTTTGTGATTTGTACATCTGTGGGTTAGAATAATGTTGAACTAAAGGCTGTTTCTCTTCTTTAAACATGTTGGAGGGAAATATTCCTGAGATTTAATAATTTAGTCTTTTTATGATTTTTCAGTTGAATTAACTTTTAATTAACAGATTATGTAATAAAGTCAAAGGGAAAACAGGATTTCACAATAAAGCCGGCACCGTTTATTTATTTTTAATCTTCACCGATAAAAAAAAAAAAGTATTTTTTTATACATAAAATTAAAAAAAAAAAAAAACGTTTCGACCCTCCGTCCCTCCATCTCGGTCCTCCCGCCTGCCAGGGCTCGAATCCGGCCTTTGTGAGCAGGCGAGGCTGGGGCTTGGGGTCCGGCCTCGCGGGATTCAACGGCTCGGCAGCTCGTATGAGCCTCAGCTGTGACTGCACTCGCTTGAATTTTATTCGGTCACCAAACACAAAAAATGCCTGGACTTCAGAATTAAACACGGCGTTGTCATTATTGTTTTTAAAATCTTAAAAATAGATCCAGCCGCTGCTCCGCATCGAGAGAAATTGCAAATGGCGGCTCAGTGAAAAGTTTCTGAGATCCAGTGACTCCTCCCCCTGACAAGGCAATAGGCCATAAGGTAGGATTATGAATCAGGTTTAAAAGTTACAGCTCATGAGGTACTCCATTAAAAAAAAATGACATCTCATCCACAACATCGTGTGACAAAGCCTTCAGGGTGTTGTTCTTCTAATACGTTTAGTGGTGGCTAGTAAAACCCTCCCTGGGCTGCCACCTTACCGTGGTGGAGGGGTTTGAATGTCCCAATGATCCTAGGAGCTATGCTGTCAGGGGCTTTACGTCCCTAGTAGGGTCACCCAAAACAGACAGGTCCTAGATGAGGGACCAGACAAAGTGCAGCCCAAACACCCCATGACGAAGAAAAGAATTGAACTTAATGTTCCCTTGCTCGGACGTGGGTCACCGGGGCCCCACTCTGGAGCCAGACATGGAGGTGGGGCACGCAGGTGAGCGCCTGGAGGCCGGACTTTTACCCATGGAGCTCGGCCGGGCACAGCCCGAAGAGGAGACGTGGGTCCCCCTTCCCATGGACTCACCACCTGTGGGAGGGGCCAAAGGGGTCGGGTGCAATGTGGGATGGGTGGTGGCCGAGGGCGGGGACCCTGGCGGTCTGATCCTGGGCTACAGAAGCTGGCTATTGGGACGTGGAATGTCACCTCACTGGTGGGGAAGGAGCCTGAACTGGTGTGTGAGGTTGAGAGGTTCCGGCTAGAAATAGTTGGGACTCACCTCTACGCATGGCTCTGGAACCAGTTTCCTTAAGGGGGGTTGGACACTCTTCCACTCTGGAGTTGCCCCTGGTGAGAGGCGCAGAGCAGGAGTGGGCATACTTATTGCCCCCCATCTTGGTGCCTGTGTGTTGGGGTTCACCCCGGTGAATGAGGGGGTAGCCTCCCTCCGCCTACGTGTGGGGGGACGGGTTCTGACTGTCGTTTTTTCTTATGCACCAAACGGCAGTTCAGATTATCCACCCTTTCCTTGGAGGGGGTACTGGAAAGTGCACCTCCTGGAGACTCCCTTGTTCTGCTGGGGGACTTCAATGCTCACGTGGGCAATGACAGTGAGACCTGGAGAGGTGTGGTTGGGAGGAACAGCCCCCCAGATCTGAACCCGAGTGGTGTTCTGTTGTTGGACTTCTGTGCTCGTCATGGATTGTCCATAACGAACACCATGTTCAAGCATAAGGGTGTCCATATGTGCTCTTGGCACCAGGACACCCTAGGCCGCAGTTCGATAATTGACTTTGTCATCGTCTCATCTGATCTGCGGTCACATGTCTTGGACACTCGGGTAAAGAGAAGAGCAGAGCTGTCCACTGATCACTATCTGGTGGTGAGTTGGCTCCGATGGTGGGGGAGGATGCCGGTCAGACCTGGCAGACCCAAACGTTCTGTGAGGGTTTGCTGGGAATGTCTAGCAGAGTCTCCTGTGAGAGGAAGCTTTAACTCCCACCTCCGGGAGAACTTTGAACATGTTCCGGGAGAGGTGAGGGACATTGAGTCCAAGTGGGCCATGTTCCGTGCCTCTATTGTCGAGGCGGCTTACCGGAGCTGCAGCCACAAGATTGTTGGTGCCTGTCGCGGCGGCAACCCTCAAACCCGATGGTGGACACCATTGGTGACGGATGCTGTCAGGCTGAAGAAGGAGTTCTATCTGGCTTTTTTGGCCTGTGGGACCCCGGAAGCAGCTGATGGGTACCGGCAGTCCAAGCGACATGCGGCTCGGGTGGTCGCTGAGGCAAAAACTCGGGCATGGGAGGAGTTCGGAGAGGCCATGGGGAATGACTTCCGCACAGCTTTGAGGCAATTCTGGTCCACCATCTGGTGTCTCAGGGAGGGAAAGCGGTACACCACCAGCACTGTTTATAGTGGGGGTGGTGTGCTGCTGACCTCCACTCGGGATATCGTGGGTCGGTGGGCAGAATACTTTGAAGACCTCCTCAATCCCACCGGCACGTCTTCCACTGAGGAAGCGGAGCCTGGGGACTCTGGATCGGGCCCTCCAATCTCTGGTGCTGAGGTCACAGAGGTGGTTAAAAAGCTTCTCGGTGGTAGGGCCCCGGGGGTGGATGAGATTCGCCCTGAGTTCCTTAAGGTTCTGGATGGTGTAGGGTTGTGTTGGCTTACGGGACTCTGCAATATTGTGTGGACATAGGGGGAAGTTTCCCTGGATTGGCAGACCGGGGTGGTGGTCCCCCTATTCAAAAAGGGGGACCGTAGAGTGTGTTCCAACTACAGGAGGATCACGCTCTTAAGCCTCCCTGGTAAGGTCTATTTGGGGGTTCTGGAGAGGAGGGTCCGTCGGATAGTCGAACCTCGGATTCAGGAGGAGCAGTGCGGTTTTCGTCCTGGCTGTGGAACACTGGACCAGCTCTACACTCTCAGCAGGGTCCTGGAGGGAGCGTGGGAGTTTGCCCAACCAGTCTACATGTGCTTTGT